ATACGTATCGATCTACAGTATTGAAAAAATTATCTATTGTTGAAAAAGCGCTCGAGAAAAATACAGATTCCAAGGAATTATTAAAATTAAAGCTATATTTTATGACAGAGTTGACTCCGTCTGATGAACTATCGAATCAATTAGAGGTATTAGTCGATAAAGATTCAGGGAATATTATGCTGTGGCAACACTATCATGGTCACACAAGGTTCAGTAGCATCGTGTACTGTACCCCGAGTATTGGATTTATATTCAAAATGCTTCTGTGTTTTGAGACAGCGCTCAAGAACAAATCCTTCCATTTATGATGCACAGTTGCTGCGTAAGTAGACGTCGGATACTTTAATGTCGGATACTTAAATTTTATTATATATTTCTTTCATATACTTAATTAATTCAATATATTATATTTCGTCTAGATATGCCGTATCGATGCTTGATTTTCCTGAGACAAACAGGATTATGGGAACAAATGTGGGAAACGATACGTTTAAATCTAAATTTGAATCTAAACTTAAACAAAACTAGTTTCTTTTCGAGGATCTATAGATGAAAAAAAATTAACTAAGTATATTAAATATTGTAAATTACAATAAAAGACTTCTGTTAAGATTATTCTATACAAATTGTTCAAATTGCAGGAAATTTTCAAGTTATTTACTTATGCCAAATCATTGACATTATGTAATAAGTTAATGATAATTATTGAGGAGGTAAGTGTGAAAAATGCCTACATATATTATATATACAATAAGTATAAAATATACAACTAATTTTCCAAAAAGAATTTAATGGGAGTCTTACGATATTAAAGTATATCAAATATATGCTATTAATAGTATTAAATAATAATACTAATTTTCAGTTGGAATGGAAGAAATGATATCGATGTCACGATTACCATTAAATCAACTATGGCAAAGAACTGAGTCATTGAGATTTACATTAACGCGGGAATTGAATTATGCTTAAAATTTTGAATTAGAATTACTCTAGAACTTGAGTGAAAAATTTGAAACGTGCACGCGACACGTGAAAGCTTAAGCTTTATTCTAGTGCCCTGAGGGCAAATTTTAAGGGCGTCCCCTTCCATCGTTGCTCCGCTGAGGCACGCGTGGTGGGGAAGGCGTCAGGTACGGTCCTGGCGGTCTCATGTACTACGCCAATTTACAGGAAGCGGAAAATTATCTTTCTTTGGGTGGTTCTGGACAAAAATTTAACAATGCCGCAGACGTGACACTTTAAACACAATGACAAATGCGATTGATCAATTCCGATTAATTGGTCAGTTAAGTTAACTGAGTTTGGTAACAGTGGGCCTAAATGCGGCGACTTTCGATCAGCATTGTATAGCGGAGAATACAGACTCTTGCATAACGCGTAACACAATATAATATAACACAACATAATATAAACGCATAAGAAAATAAACCAATCAAAATCCTTCATTTCCTTCTTTTCCATGAAATGAAGAACTATGATTGGTTGAATTTCTTATGCCTTATGTGTTACGCGTTATGCAAGAGTTTGTGCTCCCCGCTTAACACTCGCTGTAGTAACACTCGCTGTAGTGGCACTGATTTTGCATGAAAATGGCGGATAGGAATACCTATATCTTTAGTGCTCTACTTTAACCAATCACGGAGTTGGACAAATTAGATAAGACTCTCCCACGGTGTATAAACCGCGAACTCTAATCAAACGCTGTCTCGGGTTAATTCGAATCAGGGGAACCGGCCGAATCTCCCCAGGACGTAACACCTCTAACAGAAATCAGTTCATGATTGGCTACTAGTCACGTTATTGCAATGACCAATCGGAACACTTAACACCAGCCGCGCTTATAAACATAGGACTCTACCTTATACCAATGTGATCCTTCATAACCTCAATCATAATGGAAGAAAGTTCGTCCACCATGTCTGACCATGTCCTCGATAGTGGCTGATAGTGGCTGATAGTGGCAAAATTTTACGATTAATATCTCGCTTCGTCGAACAGAGTAACGCTTTTTTCTGACAGATTCATTCTTTTCGGATAAAAACGCATTGAAGAAGTATAATTTTATCAATTTTTTAGCTGGTGGAGCTAAACTGAATAATTACGTTTATAATAATTAAGATCCCCTCTTAAGACAAAAATAACATAAAATTAGTTCTTTGTTAATTAAACATACGTGGTGACAAAATGAATCACATATTACATACGGTTTTATTTTTGTTTATCATTACAGTAAGTAATAGAAAATATCACTTTGTTCATAGCAAACTGATTGTGTATCTGAATTTTATTTTCGAAGTATCTCATATTTTTCTCACCTTAAAACATAATTTACACATATGTATCATAAATCCAAAAAGTAAATTACCGTGAAATTTGTCGTAATCATTACAAAAGTACTAATAATTAATTTTATAGACTGACATTGCTGTCACAGAATTTTCGGCGGATGATTGCAAGATTTTGGGATTTAGTAAAGCCAATGTGCTCTGCTCTACCTGCAAACATTTTACTGAATCTGATCTAGAAAAAATTTAGTATGTAAAAATCTATTTCATCAAATATTACGAGTCTCCTGAGTGTAAACGTATCTCCTTTTTCATTTCTAGTACTACATGTAAGGAATGTTGTCTAAAAGATAACGATTACGAATTGTCTGGATCAAAACGCTATCCCAAAGCCATTCTTGAAGTGTGTACATGCAAATTTGGACAATATCCACAAATACAAGGTATCCATACAATCACTTCCGATAAAAATAATATAATATTGCAATTTATATTCAAATTCAATGTAAATTCATGTCTAATACATTTCTTTTAGCTTTCATCAAAAGCGACCGACCGAAAAAGTATAAGAACCTCAACATAAAGTACGTAAGAGGTTTAGATCCGATCATTAAGTTGTACGATGCAGAAAATAAAATTGAAGATGTACTCGATATACACAAGTGGGATACAGACTCTGTAGATGAATTTCTGTCAACTCATCTTTCTAAGGATTAAAATTAAGAAATATTGCATTACATGATTGTTTCTATTGAACTCTTAATAAACTATCCTTTTAATATGAATATTACATATGCAGTACATATATGATTATGCTTTATTTTGTAATATTACATATATTCATATTGCCTAATATTTGTTATTCCTTTGATCATACAAATTCTTTTTTTTTAACAATTCGAATCTTAATGTAATCCCGTGTTTCAATTTTTTCAAAAATGTATAGCACATTTTTTAGATACAAAAAGATTCTTTCTTCATCGAAATGTCCTATCTTTATATATAACAAGATCACAACACTCATGCATGCAATTAAAATAAAATACAAAATTGAAAATCTATAACATCGTGACTTCCAGTATCTCTCAAATACTCGTAAACATATAATGAAAAATCATTAATGATCTTTTAAAGAAATTGAATTAAAAAATAAAGGGGATGCATTTATCTTTGTTTAGGAACATAATTAGAAATTCTTATACAGCCTTTACCATTTATATTAATAAATGATATAAGAATATTCTTATGAATATATATATTATATATGGAGAACAAAGAAACAAATACCTAAATTTGACATTATGTATTTCGATTACGTATATCATATTAGTTGTGTTTAGAATTCCATGGAGTTCCTCCTTTACAATTAAAAC